AAATGGCTTGTTTAGTGTTCTTTGGGGTTAGAATAGGTTAGAATACATTAAATTTGATTCATTACAAGTTCTATAGATGCATGAAATGTGTTTAGAAGAGTGTAGAAAGACTTGCTGAAATTTGGGCCGAAATGGGCTAAGAACCCACAACCATTGCGTTCAAGAATTTAATGGCTTGTCTACTGTTTTTTGGGGTTAGAATACGTTAGAATACAATAATTTTAATTGATTACAAGTGTTAGAGCATCATGACGAGTGTTTAGAAGTTTGGAGGAAGACTTGTTGAAATTTGGTCCCATTGCGTTGCACCAGTAAATGGCTTCTTTAGTGTTTTTGGGGTTTGAATAGGTTATAAGACATTAAATTTGATTGATTAAAAGTTCTAGAGATGCATGAAGATTGTTTAGAAGAGTGTAGAATGACTTGCTGAAATTTGGGCCAAAATGGGCTAAGAACACACAACAATTGCTTTCAAGCATTATATGGCTTGTCTACTGTTTTTTGGGGTTAGAATATGTTAGAATATATAATTTTATTGATTACAAGTGCTAGAGCATCATGAAGAGTGTTTAGAAGTTTGGAGAAAGACTAGTTGAAATTTGGTCCCAAATAGGCTAAGAACTTGGAAACATTGCGTTGAACCACTAAATGGCTTGTTTAGATTTCTTTGGGGTTAGAATAGGTTAAAGTACATTAAATTTGATTGACTACAAGTTATAGAGATGCATGAAGAGTGTTTAGAAGAGTGTAGAAAGACTTGCTGAAATTTTGGGCCGAAATGGGTTAAGAACCCACAACCATTGCTTTCAAGCATTAAATGGCTTGTATACTGTTTTTGGGGTTGAAATATGTTAGAATACAAAAATTTGGATTGATTACAAGTGCTAGAGCATCATGTAGAGTGTTTAGAAGTTTGGAGAAAGACTTGTTGAAATTTGGACCCAAATGGGCTAAGAACTCGGAAACATTCCTTTCCACCACTAAATGGCTTCTTTAGTGTTTTTGGGGTTTGAATATATTAGAATACATTAAATTTGATTGATTACAAGTTCTAGAGATGCATGAAATGTGTTTAGACGAGTTTAGAAAGACTTGCTGAAATTTGGGCCGAAATGGGCTAAGAACCCACAACATTTGCTTTCAAGAATTAAATGGCTTGTCTAC